TTGTCTTGTTATCATTAACATATTACATGCAAATTACTTAGCACCACAAAATGATACTTGATTCTGTGTTCTCTAAAATGGGCAGCACTGGAAGGTGGGTAGGGGGTGGAAACCAAGGGACAGAGCTTGGAGGTGGGTAGGGTGCGGAGACAAGGGGTGACTCAAAAGGTAGGTAGTTCCAGCACCTATTCTCTGAGAAAAGAAATCCCTGCATAGGGCTCTATATATTTGATCTGTTTAGTGAACAATGCCTCGTTCACATGGGTTTTGAGGCATATACACTGTGAATGGTCTGTTTTTTTTCCCAGTGTTTCTAGCCGGCGGGTGCTGCTTGCAGGCAGCCCATTCAAGTCTATTAAGATGCAGTAGCAGCATGGACACAGCTGCTTATCCTATTGTTCCTGTCAGACACCGCCTGGCGGAATCTCTAGCAGCCCACAGCGCGGGGTTCCTCAGGGTGCGGGGTCTAAGTCCCAATCTGCTTATTTACCAGGGCCCATGATGGTGGGGATGGACTTGGAGCAGACTGAGACCAGGTCGCGACCCCCGAGTAAGTCCGGCAGTGGTAGAGAGTACCGACAGAGGTGTTCGGGAAATAGAGCCTGATATGAAGAGGCTGGCAGGCCTGGCAGCAGGGACTGATCCATGCGGGATGGATGGATGGACGGCCAGAGTAATGTAAAGCGTAGTCAGGCAGGCCAGGTACTAGAGGAGCAGACAGAGAATGGTCAGGGTCACGAGCCAGGTTCAGCAACTAAAGGGCAAGTAGGTACCGGAGGAGCAGGCAGAAGAGTGGTCGGGTCAAGCCAGGGGTCAAGCAGGAGACAATCAGCAGGGTCAGGATCAAGCAGAGGTCGGCAACAGAAAGCTTCACTAATCAGATCACAGGAACTGGATAACAAGACCAAACGGCAATGCACATACCTTCTGTCCCATTTAAATAGCGCGCCCTGTGCTGTCATTGGTGCCAGGCGCGTGTCCGCGATCATGATTGCGCATGCGCGGCCGTCGCTGCTGCCGCTATTGCCCAGGTTCCGCTGCCTGCCGGCTAGAGCGTGTCGGTGTTCTGCGCATGTGCCGCCCTGCGTATCGCTGCAGAACACCGGATCCCTAAAAGTTCCTAATGTGACAGGTGTGAATGGCCCTGAACGCATATTGTCTGCGTATAGGGCCACTCACCCACATCCTTCAAGTGGCTGTGTCAGTGTAGCTGCTATTTCCTAATAGACTTCAATGGGCTGCCTGCTTGCAGCACCTGCCAGCTAGAGACATTTAAAAAAAGCCCCATTCATGCTATACAGGGCTCAGTGCTTGTGTGAATATGACTCAATTGCTACTCAAATTTAGAGATTTATTGGCACAGCTGAGCTACTAAGGGTTTATTCACATTTGAGTTAGTTTGACAGGCAGTTAGGAGGTGTTATGTTCAGGGGAGGACTGACAACTCATGGGGCCCCCAGGCAATAGGGGATCATGGGGCCCCTGTGTCCTTGCCCAAACTCAAAAAAGCCTATGAAAAGGGTACCAGGGGCATCTCATGGGGTCCCCTACTGACCCCGGCCCTTGGGCAGTGGCCGAGTTTCCAAATGGTCAGTCCGCCCCTGGTTATGTTGCCTCCTCGTCCTAAAAAGCCTGTACAGTTGTGCATTGCATGTGAGGTGGCTGCAGCGAAGCCCTGTTGATTTGAATAGCAGGTCATACTGCTCAGCAAACAAAACAGTGAAGATAATCCTTGCCGTGCCGCGATGCAAACCATCATGGCTATGATATGTGTATACTTCGGTATGGATGCATTTGCAGCTTAGGGGGAGTGGTTGGGTAAAACATAATAAAAAAAACGTGGCTAAGCCAAGTGTTTTACTGCCCCCAACTGCAAGTGTAAACGAGCCCTAAAAGTCTCCTCTGCAGCATTAGCCTAATGAGATAACTGCCAGCAAATGGTTAAATCATTCAGTAGCAAGAGATTAATATTACCCTTGTAACTTAGCTTCTATAGGTACTGTATAGCCATAAAACTGTATCTCATGGTAAATCAGTGTAACATGGCAATCGGTTTTCATTTCCAAGCTGGTAAAGAGCCTCCTGCTCATCATCCTCAGTGCTTTATGATGGTAACAATAGCACCCCCTATCTTCTCACACATAAATTGTGATTTAAGTATAGCTAAAGGCAAAACTTTTTTTAGTTTATGTCCTTATGCACACTGGACGTTTTCACAGCCGCTGTTTCTGGCTTTTGACGTTTTTTTCTACAGCTAGTAAACACCCCAGCATGTTATCCTGTGTTCATGCACACACAGACTGTAATCAACATTTTTTGGCAGGGAAGTTTTTTTGGCTGGAAAAAAACCAAGGACTAGTGGGTTTCTAGAGGAGTTTTTTAGCTGCAAAAAACTCTCTAATGCTGGAAAATGGTGAAAAAACACAGCAAAATGTGGTAAAACGCTGCAAACCGGCATTTTTGGTAAAAAAAAAAAACACTAAAAACGCAAATGCAGAAAAATGCCGCTAAATGCTGATGCAAAAACGCAAAAAAAAGCTGAAAACTCATGTTTTTAACATGACTTTACACAGCTAACGTTACCAGCGTTATCAAAACACCCCGTGTGTATGAGGACATAGATGGAGTGAAGAGGGATTAAAACACCTGCCAGGTTTTTATTGCAGTCTGTACCACAATAGTGAAAACAATCTTTTGCTTTAAAAGTGTTAGCTGGGGTTCAGATTTAAAATGTTATTCAATTCTACCTAAATCTGCTAGTGCCTCTAACGCTACCCTTGCCCAAGATTGACAGTGCTATTACTGTCCAAATGTGTCTCCGAATGCAGCCACCACATTTATGGATTGCTAAACTGTAATACTGTATATGTTTTTAGGTTTAATACTGCTTTATTTACCGTTACACCGATCACACAGCTTTTTTTATGTACAAGGGATAAGATTTTATTAAACTCTGAAAACTCCAATTTTAAACTCAAGTGGCAGCGGCAAAGCTATAATGCAAGAAATTGATGACAGTAGGAGCCCATAGCTCCATGCAGTCCCAAGCAAGAACAAGGCAATTTCCCTTATGTCCTTTTGCTGCATTGGTGAGTGCTGAAAAAAGTAGATGTTACATGTGTGTGTACTGCGTCTGGTGCACTGTAATGCTGTTAACGTGGGTGGGCTCTAACATGGGTTGACAACATCCTGCAAGTACTGCTGTAGGCTTTCCTATGTTGTTAAAGGGTAACTCCACTTTCGTGGGAAAAATTAGCAAATTAAAAACACAAATAATTTAGCATTTACAATTGCGACACAAGTCATATTGTAATTTAATTTTATTAAAAATGACCTTTCCTTATCAATATGCAGTGCTGTAGTTTTCTGTAAAATGCAATATGGCTACCTGGAGGTGTTCTGTACACAGTGTGTGTACAGAACACCCCCTGAAAATTTAATTTCCTGCTTGTGTGGTTGTCTCACTGATTTTCCCAGATGTCTGCACTAAGATACAAGTCAGATTTTTGTCATCCTCTGCAACAAAAATGTCATTTTTGGTAAAATACTCCCTATAGGAACTCGCATCTAACCCCTGGTTCACATATATGCAGCCGTGCAGGCCACGTTTTTCACGGGCACGAGAGACCATTCATTTGAAAGGACTCCCGTGCCTGTGATACTCAGGGAAGAAGTCCCTGCACCTCTTTGGAAAACGCAGCCCACATGGGAACCTCGGTTCCCTGTACGGTTGCAATTTCCAGTGTGAGCGGCATGCCATTAGAAGTAATGGCACCCACCCACGGGTCCGCATTACTCTGTGCGTGTGGTGCGGCTGCACGGATTTTCATGCGGATCCGCAGTGGCACCACCCACACAGATGTGAACCTAGGGTAAAGGGATGCAGACCTTGTAAATTTCCTCATTAGTGCCCTGCAGTTGCAGCAGCTGATTGATAATTAATCAGTCGTTCCCATACAGATTCACTCTGCACATTGACACAGACAAACAATCATCTACTTCTTCAGAAAACCAAAAGGTAGGAATCTGCAACATTTGTTAACATCCCTGCAATGTACACAGATCACTCAGAGGGAAATGTTTTTTTCTCAACAAAAGTAGAGTTATTCTTTAAGTGTATGTCAAGCCAAACATTTTAGTATTTAGTGTTATTAAACCCACAACAGTAAAATCAGTCTGTATATGCAGTAAAGCATGCTTGTTATACTCACTATGGAACCTAACGGGTTAATCCTTTGCATTGTGTAAAAAGGCTGTTTGATCCTGTCTTCTGTGATCAACCCCTTCTTCTAGTGTCCCTCCTCCTTATCTCCTGATCAAACATTTCGTGTGGAGTCACTGTGCACATGTTCAGTTTGGTGTGTATTGCTAGAGAGGTTTTTTTTTTTGGGGAGAGGGCATGTGATCAGCATAAGGGCCAATCAGCATGTTCCAGACAGAGGTTGGGGGATCTGCATCCTCCTATAGCAGAAAGAAAACTCCTCCTACAAGCTTTAATATGCACTCTGCTGGACACTGATAGAAGTCACAAGATTGCTCTAACTGCTGATGAGAAAAGGTATTTAGCAATTGATATTTACTAAAATACTTGCACTTCCATTTACTGTAAGAGACCAGATATAGTGAATGCAGGGTCCTGGGTGTAGTAACACTTTAATTGGTAAGCAGGCTTTGTCCTGCATGTATTCAGCTAAGCCTGTGTTTACATTTGCTTTAAAGGTGCATTTATTTTATATATAAATTATTTTCTGGGAATGCCAATAAGAGCAAAACCCAGCTTCAGCTGCATGAAAATTAAAAAAAACAACAACAACAATATTTAGACAAAATAAAAATTAAAGCCATTATAAACGTTCCTACCTGCACTTTGTGTTTTTCACCTACATAAGATTCACATTGATCATCTATTTTCATGGCGTTATGTGTTGCCCTGTACATAAAGCCTATAGTGCAGTAAATCTTCACATTCCTGTATCAAGGTTTTTATTTGTGTATGTGACAAGGCACTGCACAAGTTAAAGTGGAGTTCCACTCAAAAGGGGAAGTTCCGCTTTAAGGTCACCCGCTTCCCATTAAGGATTGGCACCTTTGGGGTGCGGGGGGGAGGGGTAGCGGGTACCCAAATTTGACAGGTACCCGCTCCCACTTCCGGTCCGATTGCCTAGGCGATCGGAAGCGGAAGGTGTCCTCCCTCCCTGTAGTCTTTTGGGACATGTGACAGGTCCCAGAAGACTACAGGACCATTCATGAAGCGCAGCGCTACTCGCACATGTGCAGTGGACACCCAGCTGTGAAGTCGCAAGCAGTCACAGCCAGGTGCCCACACTGAGCATGCCGGCCTCCTAGAATACAGGACGGCTGGTAAAACGGGCTGCGGGGGACACACCATGGGACCGAGGGACAGGTAAGTGGCTGTTTTTTAAAAATCAGCAGCTACAGTTTTTGTAGCTGCTGACTTTTATTTTTTGACAGGGTGAGTGGATCTCCGCCGCTGTCGGTAGTGTGAGAACTAAGATTTCCTGTGAAGACACTACATATCTCACAGTCCTTGGGGCTGTCAGTCTAGTGCTATTCAGGTAAGACCTAGACACCGCTGCAAAAAACAGGCAGAGCTTTCACAGAAATTGCACTTACCATGTAGCTGGAAGATGTCTTTTATATTACATTAGCACTCCTGTGATACTGTGTAGATGGCAAGGCATGCACTGGACGTTGTGACCCAGAACAGGAAGTTGTCTTGTCCCTTTGGTGATTAGGGACAGGCTGGCTGTAGAAAGCCATGGAGATAGGGGAACTGATCAGCCATGACACTGTGGGGTTGATTTACTAAAACTGGAGAGTGCAAAATCTGGTGCAGCTCTGCATAGAAACCAATCAGCTGCCAGTTTTATTTTTCGTCAAATCTTCACTGAACAAGCTGTAGTTAGAAGCTGATTGGCTACCATGCAGAGCTGCTCCAGATTTTGCACTCTCCAGTTTTAATAAATTAACCCTGTATACTTACAAGGTAAGGCAAACAAACAACACAGAGAATATAACAACACTATACCTAGTTAAAACAACAAAAAAAAACACTTTCTGCAATTCTCACCTTCAATCTGGAGCTCAACCCCATAATACTTTTTTATCACAAGATGTCTCCAGTCTTCCAGGCTGAATTGAGCTCAGTATAATTCAAACCATTTCCTGTGAACCCAGGGCATCAAGAACTTGACCCCTGGGGGTTTGTCTTCCAGTTGCCCTGGGCTCCCCACCAGAGGTGGAGAAAGAGATACCATGATGGCACAAGGCCAGACCGAAGACACCTGGAAAAAATATTTGTTTTTAGGTTTTTAATAAAAAAGGTGAAGGGGGTGTTTTAAGTAGGGAGTTGGTGTTTAGAAAACACTATGCTTTTCTGTAATTAGATAAAATGGTTCACTCATAGGGTGTAACTCCCAGCTGCCAACAGAAAAGCTAGGTACGGTTTGCTGCAAAATTGTCTTTATTGCAGCTATTATCATAAAAATATCAAAGTAAAAACGTCCCTGTAGAAGTTGCTGCATTGTGAAATTCTACAACATTAGGCTTTAGACTTACAATGCTGTAAAAGAAGGAAAAAACCCCAGGAATAAAAAATGTGTAGAGAAATAATGGCTGACATTTGTTTAGTCTGTTCAGCACGCTGTCAGCCAGGCATTATATCTTGGAACTGCAGTAACATTAAATCAGCGAGCTATGTACTATAACAGCCTTTACACCATTTCCAGTGTGTGAATCAAATTATAACAGCCAGAAGCCAAGCAATGAAGACAACAGATAAATCATACATACTGCTCTCACTTAAAGGGCTACTAAAAACCCAGCAAACAAGTTGCTTTATATTAGGTAGCTGAAATAAAATGTATAAATATATTTATGTGAACATTCCAGTAAAGGATGAAATTAACACCTTTGGGCCTTGCTGCAAATGTGAAATCACAACATCTCTTCATTTTAAATAAACCTACAAATGTGTTATGCTGCTTCCTGCCTGTGCAGTGGTCTCCAAACTGTGGCCTGGGGGCCAGATGTGGCCCTTTGCTTGCCCTTATCTGGCCCTTGGGGTACTATTCCACCAATAATGGGGCACCATTCCCCTACTGACACCATCAATGGAGCACTATTGCTCCCACCGATACCAACAATGGGGCACCCATTGAAACCAATGATGGGGCACTGATGTCGGGGCATTGTCCACTCCCACTGGCCACAGTCCAGGCCCCCCTGAAGCCTGAAGGACAGTAAACTAGCCCTTTGCTTAGAAAGTTTGGAGATCCCTGCCCTAGTGCAATGATCCCTCATGAAGAAAACCTTCTTGAACCATACCTAGGGGTGTGCCTTTCCAGCTATTGGCCATGTAGTGGTTGCTAATCCTGTCATCCACTCTTTTACACCATTGTACTCATCTACCTATAAATGTGACACACGTTGGCCTGCTGAGCCAGAGCTCTACTGGAAGCATGCGTTTGCTGATTGCAGAGGTCTGACTCATGAATAGAGTCCACTGCTTCCACACAGATACTAAGGGTGCCATTTCGTAACTGCTTGTAAGGAAATGGCTTTTCTACTCAGGCTGTGGCTGCTTTGAAAAGAAAAGAAATTGTAACGTAATAGTTATCTTTTGTTTTGATGCACTTGGAATATATTTAGATGTTGGTTCGGTTGCGGTTTAAGGGTGCAGTGGGCTTTAATTCACCTCTGAGATGAATTGATGCTTCTTTTAACTGTCCTGTTGTTCAAAAAAAGCTTCATGAACCTAATTTTTTTCCAGAAAAAACTGTGTGTTACAGAAAATCTCCCGTTGTGCTCCAGTGGAAACTGTGTGCTTCTAGATTCTAAGACCCATCCAGCAACTGCTAGCTGAAGGAACTGTACGAGCCTTGGAAGAGTTTGGGTGTTCTACCTCCTTCTGTCATGTCTCAGGTTTTCGAATAACACTTGGAACTACATCTACAAGATTGAGCCCACATTTATTTGCAAGAACAAGTAAATGGAATACCTGGGGACAAGGTATTCTGAGAAAGGAGTTCCACCTGTAGTCCCAAAGGCTTTTTAGGTGGAGGCATTAAAGATTTAGGAATTCAGCTTCCTCCCCACACTCCTATCGTCCTACCTACATTCCATGGTCCATAAAAGAGTCCATGCCACCTAGCACACTACTATTTGGTTTACTTCTTCAGGGACATAACCCCATACCCATACCATATATCCACAAGGATGGTGTACCTTGAACATGCACTGACCTTGTTTATATTCCCCATTGTACCATTTCTCTATGCTTCACTCATAATATTAGCTGTATGCATTACTTTGCCTTTATTCTTCTTTGAATAAAAAATCTTTATATGATTTTTTGCATTATATTGTGTTATATGTTGTATTTTTTATTAAAAATACCTTTAAATAAATATTTTATTGGAAAAAACAATTAGGTAATAAGACTTTAGAACAATTACTTTAATTTAATTCCTAAAACAAAATGGAAACCAATTAACTGGCTAGAAGGTATTGTAATATCACCTGTAGATCCAGCTTGGATACTTTCAGACAAAATCTATAAACACTGAAAAGAATACTGATGTGCAAAGAATTAGTCCTGGTTCACACTGCTTCGACTTGTCAAGTGACTTATTGTTCAAATCGCATGACAAATCGCATCCAATGATCGGCAATGGAACCGTTCCTGCACTACTTTTGCCTATTGGGGTGCAACATGCATAGACATCTGTGCATGAGGTCATACAGATGTCTATTAAGTCACACCTGAATTCGCACTGCCATCCGACTTTGAAATCTTGTGACTTCTTGTGAAGTTGCATGATTTCTAAGTCAGATCAGTGTGAACCAGGGCTCAGAGAAGCCCGATCATCTAAGATGTTATTTAAGCTTTGCATTGGTTGCTGTAAGGGCTCATTCACGTTATCTTCCTTGTATTTGGGTGCCAAAATTAATGGCACCTCAAAATATGATAGTGTACCGTGCACACATTAGTGTGTTGTGGTGTCAATAGTTTTGAATGGCACCACAATGCACATCCAGAAAGCAACTGCATTGCAGTACATTACAACACACAATATGTCATATACTACAAAAAATGCAGCAGGACCTACATTTTCCTGTGTTGATGTGCATTACAGACCATTCATTATGAAAGGACTGCCGAATGTAGCATGCTTTGAAAGCAAGATAATGCATACACTGCAGTGCGTTGCATTCAGGCGTGAATGGGCCTTAAGTACTACATTTTGTGGATAATTGCTTTGCACAGCCTTATTGACTAAACCCCTTGTTCCTAACAGGTTCTTCTCTTCAGTGGCAAGGGAAAATCTGGGTAAGGATTTTATCTTAAAGTGGAACTTTACCCATAACTTGATAAAAAATAATGTTCTATAGCAAGGAGCAAACATTCCACCTTAACAATTATGCTACCAAAATTAGTTTGTGCTGTTAGGCTCGGTTTACACTAGTGCAGGTGGATACCCCTGCGGGACCCGCACTTCGTCCAGCAGCTGTAACCACCCACACACAAAACATGGGAACCACAGGTGGGTGCCATTAATCTTAATGGTGCTCCATCCTCACTGGAAATTGCACCTGCACTGCGGTTCCCAGTACAGGCTGTGATTTCTGGAAAGGTGCATGGACCTTTCCCCTGCCTTTTGCAAGGAAAGGCAGTCCATTCAAATAAATGGGCTGTTGTGCTGTGGCCCGCAAAATGGCCCTAGTGTGAACCAAGGGTAAATTGCCTCCAGCATTGCTCCTGTTTTTTCTTGCTGGAGGCTGCTATTTTGCCAGAGCCCCTGAGGAGCAGTAAATCATAAGCAGAACTAAACCCATCGATATAACAGTTTCAAAAAACAGTTACATTCCTGGAATGCCAGGATTGCTAACTGTCATACTTATTTGTGTCCTATCAAAACTGTCACACCATCAAATGGCTGGCAGTGTCATAACTGATCACATGTGCAGCACCATGGCAGTTGAGGATCAAACAGAAGCATCTTCCTTAGCTGTAGAGGACCTCTACAAATTCAGCAGTGCCTAAAAATGGAGAGCAAGTGAGCATGTGCAGAGCAAGGTGAGACAGTGTATTACTGGATTTTAAACACTATAGGCACTTATTTTTAATGTTTAACATACTGTAGCTATACCTGCAAAAATGGGCAGCCTGAAGTGATCTAGAAGATCTTTGTTTTCTGACTAAAGTTCTACTTTAATTAAAATAGCTTAGAAGGAATAAAGCTAACAATATTTTAAGAGACACTCTGCTGACCTGCAGTGGTGCAAGGGGGCATTGCTATTCACAAAGAAACTTCTTGACCTGGAGATAGGAAGGTATGATAATGTAAGGACAACACTGCAAAACTGGAGATTGGTAATCATATCTCCATATGCAAT